TCTTTGGAATATGGATAAGAGTATAAATATACATGTTCCTGGGTGACAAGACTGGTGTCTCTACATTTAGAGCCCAGAGATGCCTCCATAGTCTTAGGTAGGTCTCATTTCCCCTTGAAATGTACATGCTGGAGAAGTAAACATCTTTGTATGTTTACTAATTTGTGTCTCCAAAATTCCTATGTTGAAGTCCTAACTTCCCATATGACTCCATCAGGAGACAGAGCCTTTTTGAAAGTAATTAATGATAAGTGAAGCCATAGTGTGGGGCCCTAATCCAATAGAACTGATGTCCTTATGAGATACCAGCAATGTGGGTCCACAGAGCATCACAGAGGAAGGATTCATGTGAAGACACAGCAAGGCAGCAGTCTCAGAAGCAAAGAGAGAATTTTCAGGACAAACCAAATTTGCCACCAATTTGACCAGGGACTTTCAGTCTCTAGAAGTGAGAAAATAAATTTCCATTGTTTAAGCTTCCCAATCTAGTATTTTGTTATATGGCAGCCTCAGCACAACATACTCTCGGTAGTTTCTATTTACTCAGTCACAATTGAACTTTAATGGCTTCTCTTTCAGCACAGGCCCCAGGCTTCAGTAAAATTTGCCAAGAAACAAAACATTTTCTCTACAGTTCCAAAATATCCTTTAAAATAATTCTTCAAAATTGTAACTACCAGGGCTTCCCTGGTGGCGCGAGGGGTTAATCATCACACTATGAAGCAATCCGCAGCCTCCACAGCACGAGTTTGATGCCTGGCCGGCCAGGGAGCAACCCACATGGCGCAGCAGACCTCTCCTGTCTCGCCCGCTGCTCCCCTCAGCAGTGTACTTCGGTCAATCTGCCTGCTCTGTTCCCCATTCTGTCTCTGGTGAATCCTCTCACCCTCCTTTCCCCACCCCCTTCCACCCCGCACCTCTGGCTTGTAACCCAGCTCTTGTATGCATAAATAAATCTTTTTTAAAAAAAATTGTAACTACCAAAGAAGTACATATACCCAAATACAAATGTTTCAAAAATGAAATTGTGTAATAAATTTGTCCAGTGAAATTTTTTTTAAATCTGAAGCCATATCCATACATAACTCTTCTTGAAGAAAAAGCATTGTACCTCCATTTATTGTCCCTTTTGTTCAGGTTACTAATAGAAAATACAACCAATAATTCAGCTTGCCTTCATTAAAAAAGGGGAAAAAAAGTTCAGGTAAGTGTGATCACTTGAAAATAGTGCATTTCCTTTGAATTATAACTGACAATAAGCATAACTTTAACATGAGTGATTTGAAGTTTGGCTATTAATAAAAATGAAAACATGAAAATTTCATTAATATTTTATTTTAAGAGCTCAACTGTGAAGTAATCATTATAAGCATTTATATAATCCTTTTTTGAGAAATCTGGAGAAATTATATCAAATATGCTCCAAATATTTACACATTGCATAAATATCAAGGTTTAATGAAAATCTTTTAATAAATTAACCAAATAAATTTTCACATATCTTCAAAACAAGTAATGCTAACCTACCGAAACTAATACTAGATCTTCCAAAAATGATAAATTATTTTGTGCTGTGCTTTTAAAATGCAAAACTATGCTTGGGTGCAATGATTTCATAAAGACTTCAATAATGAGCTTCTAACATTGAACTTTTTTACAATTTTACATTAATTCTTGCAATGGCAATATTTGAAGGCAACAATAGATATACACTTACCAATATAATTGACAATGGTAGTCTATCGATTTATCAAATATCACCACCTTTTTAAAATATTACATTTTTGTATCAATTTTATATTTTTCTAATTTTATAGGTGCAGGTGATAAATTTAATTTCACTAACAAGACTATAAAAATTACTTTTCCTAACATTTTAATGAAAACAAGAATAGGCTCTAATATTTATATTTTATAAGAGTAACTGATTAGTTGCAATTGACTGACTAAATTTTGGAAATTTATCACAATCCTCTAAGAATTATAGCATCAGTACCTTGTTCATTTTGGTCATTCTATTTAATCATTAATCCTTCACAAAAAATAGTTATAAAAAGTATGTCTACATTGACAAAAAATTATCAAAATGTAGTGACCTTTTTCTAAATGCCTCAAGATTTCATATAAACTATGCAAATTATTACTATTTTAATATGATTTTCAAAATTAGACACTTGGGCAAAAGTGTTTTGAAACATGAACTATGATAAAATTTTCATTCAGCAGACCTCCCTAACGGCGCAGGGGTTGTTTCAGCACTATCAAGCTATCGCCAACCACTGTGAATTTGATCATCGGTCAGGGCACTAACCCAATGGCACAGCAGACCTCTCCTGTCACCTCTCCTGCCTCGTCTGCTGCTCCCCTCAGCAGTGTATTTCACGGGATCTGCCTGTTTTGCGTCCCACTCTGTCTGTGGTGAATCCTCTCACTCCTGCACCTCTAGCCTACACCCCAGTTCTTGCATGCATAAACAAATAAAATATATCTTAAAAAAAATAAAATTTCATTCAGCTACTATTTTCCTATAAAATGTGCCCACCACATTAAAAAAAAAATCCTCCTTAAAAGCATCTTTATAGGGGCCTCCCTGGTGATGCAGGGGTTAAAGGCACAGTGCTATCAAGCTATCCCAAGCCACTGCAGCATGAGTTCAATCCCCTACCATGGAGCTAACCCAGACCTATCCTGTCTCGCCTGCTCCTCCCCTCAGCAGTATATTACAGTAGATCTATCTGCCTGTTCTGCTCCCCACTCTGTCTCTGGTGAATCATCTCATCCCCACCATACCTCTAGCCTATACCCCAGATTTTATATGCATAAATAAATAAATATATATTTAAAAAGCAATCTCTATAATCCAGCAAATAAAAGTTTCTATTCACTTTAGGTATAAGGCATGGGTCTTAACTATTCTGCCCTGATATGGGACTTGCTTCTACCAAAACAGCATTCCTAGAAGGAATGCTAGCTCTCCATGCCATACTACCTTGCTAACCATGTAAGAAAAGTAAATTGAAAACTCTAATAGCAGTTTAGAGGAAGGAAGTTCAAATAGGAAGATTTTTCATGTCCAAACTAAACAATGATTACATTAAGATTTGGCACTGTCAAATCAGGCAGAGATTAAGCTGAAGTGGAAAAGAATACAGTCTTTTAAGAGAAAACCAAATTATGCTTTGCTATCTACCAAATTCATTGGCTAAAAAAAAGTCTCAGTAGTTATATTGCATTATATCACCTTCCCATTGGTAACTAAAAACATTACTTAATAATAATTACTTAATAATATCTTAATCCTAGTTATAATGAAATTATTTTTTTGAAGTTTATTTTCTTTCTCCAATACTAAGGTAGACTACACTTTGGAAATTTACCTGGCATGTTCCCAGCAAATTTGGTTCTTTATTTTCAGCAGGGTCAATATTACATAGTTTCACTCATCCTTTCAACTACATGTAAAACTATGAGCCCCCCCCAAATACGAACAAAACAAATCTGGTTTTCTGTTATATTTAATGCTGATCTTAGTCATTTACTTTTTTTTTCCCACATTTTTTTAAAAGATTTATTTATTTATTTATTTATTTATACAAGCACTGGGTACAGTCAGAAGCGCGGGAGGTTGAGAGAATTCACCAGAGCCAGAGCAGGGAGCAGAGCAGGCAGAAGGACGGAAGTACACTGCTGAGGGGAGCAGCGGGCGGCAGGAGAGGTCTGCACGCCATGTGGGACCCTCCTCCGGTGGCAGGGGAGCAGCCGGGGATCGAACCAGTGCTGCAGAGGCTGCAGGCAGCTTCGCAACCCAGCGCTCAACCACTGCGCCACCGGGGAGGCCCTAAGTCCTTTACTATTAAAAAAAATACTAGAAATTGATAATAAAAGAGTAAATGAGTAAGATATATACCTGGTGGCATGTAATTAATTTGCTGTGGTTCCTCTTCTACCAGTAAAGTCTTATCTACTCTAATTCCTTCAAATTTAGAGGCTTTTTAGTTTTCGTTGCAGATTTTCCTTTTTTTTTTTTGCAGATTTTCCTTTTAACATTGTTTTTGGTATGCTTTACACAATTAGTTTCACAACTGTTATTTCAAATTTATGTTTACAATACATAGTAAGAACCCACATTCAATAAGACCACAACTTTTACATTTTTGTGGATCAGTCTATTAATGATTTTAACAAGAACTCTATCCAAAGCAACAAAAACTTACATATAGTTAGCAAGCAATGCAAGGGTTTCAGGACCCCACTGACATCTATTTATGATAAACATTTTTGCAATAAAGGGATGAAATCAAATAATAGTTTAGACTGTAAATTTAATTTCAAAGGTTTAATATAAAAAACAGAGACAAAATTAAAATATTTACAAATATGGAAATTTCTAAGTTTTAGCTTTAGCTAATCTTATAAAGAATTACCCAACTCAGATCAGATGTATACATGTTACAACCAGTATGCAGAAATGTTGACATAAAAAAGTATGCTCATATCTAATATTGACCAGTAAATATATAATACATTAGATGGAGAAGTTAATGTTTACACTTAAAGGTAGTTTATTAGGGTCAATCAGTTTAAAAAAATACTTATATACCCTGAACAGTATTTTATAGTACTATTGAGTTACAACAAACAGATCCTCAGTTTCAGGTAGCTCATTTGTAAGATGCCATCAGTGATCAATATATGCAACATAGTTGCACATAGCTATTAACAAGCCACTTTTGGCATGCATTACAAACATGTACCTAGATAACCAAATTACTATAATTCAAAATAAGTGTTCATTTAAAATACAATTAATGGTTTTCACCTGATAATAAAATAGGCTTAAAATATGCTTTAAAACTTCAAGTCATTCAAGATTTATAGACTTAAAACTATGCTTGAACATATGTATAATATGTAGTATGAACAGGAAAAAAAAGGTAATTATGACAATATGAGTGTCTTCATCCAAAAAATTAAAAATCAAAATACATTTCACATGAGAGTTAAGTGTGTTTTTTTCTTTATTCAAGTAAACATTTTGATTATAATACATGATAATGGACAACCCATTTGCCAAAGTACTTGTAGTCTATGGTTTGTTGTAGCTCCTTGTCTCTAGGATGATTTTCCAGGTGATTCTTCAGGATCTGACATCAATGCCCAACACAGACTTCCCCATGGCAATGCATGAGTTCTAGAGGTCACTGTCTCTATTTCTCTTCAGATGCTGAGTGCCATTTTCTCCCACCCATTTTATCCTCCATAACTTATAAAAACCCATTCTAAAATTCAACCTATATTATAAAATTAATAAAGTCAGGAGTTAGTATATATTTTCCCACAGACAAAATTATTAAGACTCAATCTCCCACCCCCCTGCCAACTCTTGTAGTATTTATATAATTTCTGAAGAGTAATACATGCCACAAAATGTGCAAAGAACCTTATTACTGGGGGGAGAGTAGATATGTGTTGGAAATCAAAGTACTTTCAAAAGCTTAATTCTCCTTGGATACCAATCCTCCAATGAAAATTACAGTTCACAAACAGAAGCCTGTGCTTTAGTAAGTGGAAATACAGTACCTGGTTTGGTATAAGGTAATTAATTGTGAGATCTTTTCTCACTAGTAAAGTGCGTAATTAAGAAACATTCTTCTGCCACGATTTAGTTTGTCAAAGGCACAGAATGTCTGTCTTTCTCCTTAAAGAATTAGTTTTTAAAACTGTAGTACCTATTTAAGTTGTACTTAATCAGGAAGCTTACTGATTTTTTTTCCTCTCAGTAATAAAAAAAAAAAACTATGTGAAGAAAAATGTTTAATTTTTATTTTCAACACTTTGCCATGAACATACATACAACACTAAATTTGATCCCCTCATGAGCTATGTGCCATGAAGCACTTACGACGCCCCCCCCACCAAAAAAAAAAACATAAGTAAGTTTTAGGGCATAAATTAACTAGGAATCAAAATCTCTTCCCAAAAAAGGGGAGTAGAGGAATCAATAAATTAAAAATCATAGATTTCATTTTATAAAAAAATAGCTTGAATAATCTTCTTATAAATCTTTAACGCTTACAAAAACAGGAAATACATTTAAAATAGTATTTTTAACACAGATTCATTAGTACAATGAGATTAAGGTCAGAAAAAATAATATCAACATGGCATTTCAGAAGTTTCCATTCTTTTCTTAGCGAATTCCACATATTTAACCAATTTGCTATTCAAAATAATATTTAACTGTTGATAAGGTCAAACTAGCTATAGTTAGTACCTTGATATCAAGTGCTGTTCCATTTAATATATTTTACAAAAAATGTAAATACAGCTCAATGATAGGTACTAATAGCAATACTTGACTGCATGATTACCACCCATGACTACTATACTATGGCTTAAAACATGCTTTGGTCAATATATTAAAAAGATAATAAATCAAATAACAAGATCAGGAAAGTTGTTTTTGAACCAATTTCTTGACCTTCAGTGAATTTTCAATACATCAAGACAAGGAAAAATATGATCAAATATACAGAAAGGCCTTAATTTTCAACCATTTGGCATTTTATATTAATAATCTCCTTTTTAAAATAATGTTTTATGCTTATGTGCATGGATTATCATAGCTCTCTGAATTAAAACTATAGTTACCTTTCTAGAATGTCCAGTAGTGAATGGATTAATTGCTCCTTTTACACTTCCATGAAGATGGTCCTTCATCCTGTAACTTTTTAAATTTTGGACCAAGAAAGAACCACCAAGCAAATCCAATAAAAACACAAATAATGGACTCCACGTAATAACCATCCAATGCCGTAACACATGAGCCACCAAGCTTTTTGCAAAGCTGTAAAAATAAAATTATAATAAATATTTCCAATTTCAAAATGGAAGAATTCACAATTTACATGTTTCTACTTGGTAATTTAAAGGAGTAATCAAAAAATATTTTTGTTGAAACGTTTCAACATTCCTTTCACTTCAAATGGCGAAACATGGCAATATATCTTTTTAATGCTATTAACAGAATAAAAACAATTTTTGGGCCCTCTCAGGTCTTCATTTGCCAGGTGACTATGAAAAGAAGGAATAGGGGCCTCCCTGGTGGCGCAAGGGGTTAAGACGCATCCTCTGTAGCATGAGTCCGATCCCTGGCCAGGGAGCTACCTACATGGTGCAGCAGACCTCTCCTGACTGGCCCGCTGCTCCCCTCAGCAGAGTATATCAGTCAATCTGCCTGTTCTGTTCCCCACTCTGTCTCTGGTGAATCCTCTCACCCCCACACTCTGGCCTGTACCCCCGTTCTTACACGCATAAATAAATCAATCTTTAAAAAAAAGAAAAAGAAAAGAAGGATAAAGAAAGGTTCAGCCTAAAAGGGCTGTGGCCATGTCTAGTCTATTAGTTACACCAAGATGCCCCAAAACTCTTAAGATGTCAGTCCTTGAAACACAAAGGAGTAGCAGCTGTCAAGGACATTTCCAAAACAAGTGTCCTCATGCCTACGTGCTTCCCAAGCTGTATGTGAATTTCCATTACTGCAAAAGTTGTGACATTCACAGCAAGGTAGTTTGGAATCATTCTTGAGAATCCCGGAAGGACTGACCACCTGCACCATGATTTAGACCTGTGGGTGCTGTCTCACAACTTCTGCCAAAGCCTATAAAGGAGCTAAGTCCCTAAAGACTAAAGGAAAACTTTCCTTTGGGGAAAACTAAGATGGAAATCATACTCAAAGTTTTCTTTTGTTTTTGCTATATAAAACGCTCATTTTCAAAATGCAGCCTTTCATATTTGGAAATGTGAAGAAACTTCCAATGAATCAACTGCAGAAGTTGAAATAATCTCTGAAATACTCTGAAATACATTACTCTGAAATAATCAAACTACTAACCATTCAGTTTTAGTTAGTTTTCCTACAAACAGCTAGTGAAATTTTTCTTTTTTACAATTGTAAAACATAGCCATTAATTATTAATTTATTAAGTAACTATTGTATAGGACAGTAACCTTCAAGGTGGAGGAGATTGTTCTCCCCCTGATCTTGCTGAGACGCATACAAAAGCTGGTGTACAGGTCAGAGATGTGGGGGGTGAGAAGATTCACCAGAAACAGAGTGGGGAATAGAACAGGCAGACTGACTGAAATACACTGCTGAGGGGAGCAGCGGGTGAGTCAGGAGAGCTCTGCTTTGCCATGTGAGTTGTTCCCTGGCCAGTTGGGGGATCGAACTTGTGCTGCAGAGTGTGGTGCTTAACCCGTTGTGCCATCAAGTAAGCTACTTTTTACTGATTTGAGTGTTAAACATATACTTTGAGTGTTAAACATAAACTACTTTTGGTGGGAAAGAATATATACATTTCTACACTAGAATTATGGATAGACATGATTTTCAAAAGAAGATATAATACTTGTAGAAGCAAAAAGAGGAAATTTTATATATATATATTTTTATTTTTTTTTTTATTTTTGGGTAGAACTGAGGTGTAGGCCAGAGGTGTCGGGGATGAAAGGACTAACCAGAGACGGAGTGGGGAGCAGAACAGGCAGATTTACTGAAATACACTGTTAAGGGGAGCAGCGGGAGAGGTAGGAGAGGTCTGTTGCGCCATATGTGGGTTAGCTCCCTGGCCTGTGGTTGAACTCAGGAAGTAAAGGTGACAGCGCAGAGAACTTAACCCCTTGGCCACCAGGAAGGCCTGGAAATGAATATTTTAATGTTATTTAAAATTACAACATACTTACCTCAACAGCATCAGGTGTTCCACAATTCTGATTTGATGCTCCTACACATTCTTTCACTGTGAGGGGATCTACCAACCAAAGAGCTACTGTAGAAGGCCAGTTTCCTCCCAGATTGGAAACGGTATTTAGAAGGGTCATATATGTTCCTCCGATGAGTGGATCACTAACCTTTGCATTGAAAGCCATTACAGAAACATACATGCTGTACAATGTAACCTAAAGGGAAAAAGTAAAACATCTCTAAGATAGTTAGATATTATGAGTTTGTCTAAATTAAGAATATCAAAATAAAAAACCTGAAAATTAATTTTTATGACTCTTATTAAACTCAAGTCAATATATATTTATTAAGTGCCTAATATAAGTCAGGTTCTCAGCCAGATCATGGCAATACAAAGCTGTATTGTATAAGATACAATCCCTCTATGCTCTTGAAGAATTTATTCCAGGGTGGGAAAATAGGGGATAAATGATTATAATGAAATGTAATAAGTATGCATACACTGTGTAAGTATGTAAGTAAGTAGTTAAGTATGCATACACTGTGCAACTGGGATCTAAAAATATGAGAGATTAATTTTACCACAGTAGTCAAGGAAGATTCAATAGATAAATGAGAGATGAGGGGTGGGAACTGTGTGGGGAATATAACCAAGATGAAAATGCATACATTGTGCAAAAATGAAAAATGATGTAAAAAATATATAAAATAAAAAATGAAAAAAATGAGAAATGAGGAGACACTGAAGGATGATAGAGCAATAAGCAAAGCCCCATAGTTGCCATATTTGTACTGGACCTAAATAAACCATCTGTGTGCCTAACTACAATTATAAACATGTTATACATATAAACAGTCAAAGGAACATAAATATACATATGGAGTGCATAAATCATGCAATTTTAGCCTACACTTATAAAAGGAAAATAACATTGCAAAGTTTCTGCAACAAACTAAAGAGAAAAATCCTCAAGAGGCAAGAAAGTGTTTAAGAGACAAGAGTTAACACTTCATTTAGGGACATGAAAACAAACCATGTTTCCAAAACAGCATTCTAGAATGAGCCCATGGGATGTTCATAGAAAGAAGCATTCCAAAGTCAAATAAAGCTGAGAAATACTAAGTTGCACAAAATTAAATAAGTCTTTTTCACTGTAGGCCTTCTGAAAGATATAAATTCCTTAAAGGCAGGGATTTTATTCATACTTAGTATTTTAGAATGATTTCTGGTATGGAATAGGTGTCTATGAAATATTTGCTGATGGAATGATTAAGATATTACATAAAGAGAAGTTAAGTCATGTATCTTAAATTTATTTGGTCTTGTAACGTTTTTCCCCACAAAGCATCTGGTTGTCTGAGTTTTATAATTACTACACTTTGGGAAATTATCTAATTAAATTCAAAATCAAACATGTTTTTTTTGGCTATTATATCACAGTTTTCCTGACTTTCAGAGATAATGAAACACTAAGCTAATGTATTTATTTTTTTTTTAAGATTTATTTATTTATGCATACAAAGAGCTGGGGTACAGATCAGAAGTGCGGGGTGATGGGGGCGGTGAGAGGATTCACCAGAGACAGAGTGGGGAACAGACTGACCAAAGTACACCGCTGAGGGGAGCAGCAGGCAAGTCAGGAGAGGTCTGCTGCGCCATGTGCGTTTCTCCCTGACTGGCCGGGGATCAAACTCATGCTGCAGAGGCTGTGGACTGCTTCACAGTGTGGTGCTTAACCCCTTGTGCCACCACGGAGGCCCAGCTAATGTACTTACTTTATTTTATTTTATTTTTTTTATAGAGGCATGCCTTATTTATTTATTTATTTTATTTGTTTGTTTGTTTTGTTTATACATGCACTGGGTACAGTCAGAAGCGCGGGAGGGTGAGAGAATTCACCAGAGCCAGAGCGGGGAGCAGAGCAGGCAGAAGGACCGAAGTACACTGCTGAGGGGAGTAGCGGGCCGCAGGAGAGGTCTGCGTGCCATGTGGGACCCTCCTCTGGAGGCTGAATCAAAGAATTTAAATGAAATTTCATAGAAAAATCCAAAATGACTCTGAAGTACAATTTCCAATAATTGTAGCTGAGTCCAACTGCACTGCTGGACATCTGCCATTTACTTGCATTTCTTTTTTTTTTTTTTTTTAAGATTTATTTATTTATACATACAAGCACTGGGCACAGTCAGAAGCATGGAAGGGTGAGAGAATTCACCAGAGCCAGAGCGGGGAGCAGGACAGACTGACGAAATACACTGCTGAGGGGAGCAGCAGTGGCAGGAGAGGTAGGAGAGGTCTGCGCGCCATGTGGGAGCCTCGCCGGTGGCCGGGGATCGAACCAGCGCTGCAGCAGCCCAGCGTTCAACCGCCACACCACCGGGGAGGCCCTACTTGCATTTCTTACCCAGGAAACAAACTCCCCATTCTGCAATAGCAGTGAGGCCTGGGTAAAGTGGGGTCTTTCCTTTTAGGGATTACAAACATATTTAACAATGATTTTAAAAAGCAGCTTGACACACAGCTTCTATAATCAAAACAATTTTAAAGATTTTCAAGTCATAATTTTCAATGCAGAATTATTTCTCAATAATTTCAGAAAGACATCAGGAATGGAAGAAAGAACCCAAATTTATGGATGGATTGAGAGATACTTAGTAAGTAAATGTGAAATGTAACCAATACTGTTGAAGAACAAAAAAGTCAGTGAATGAAAAAGGAACTCTTCATGAATAGAACTTATTAAATCAAAAGCCATGAGATTTAAAGTTCACATCTAAATGTGAACCTCCCCTGGTGGGTGGTTGATCACCATGCTGTGAAGCTGTCCGCAGCCTCTGCAGCGCCAGTTCGATCCCGGCCGGCCTGCGAAGGTCCCACGTGGCGAGGAAGACCTCTCCTGTTTCACCCGCTGCTCCCCTCAGCAGTGTATTTCGTCAGTCTGCCTGTTCTGTTCCCCACTCTGTCTCTGGTGAATCCTCTCACCCTCCCGCACCTCTGGCCTATACCCCGGTTCTTGTATAAAATAAATAAATAAATCTTTAAAAAAAATTTTTTTCAGTGTCAGGAGTCCAGTTTATATCCTAAATTTACTATCATGATTTTAAAGAAATTGTAGCCAAATTTCTTCTTTATTTTATATATACAGTTTCCTTCCTAAGAAAACCACAGCAAACTTACCTGATGTAATGCGTAACTCAACAGCACTGTAACATAGTAATATATAGGGAATCCGCCTTGATGTTCTACTTTAGGAGTCCACCAAACCAGCAATGCATACTCTAATCCAAGCAATAATCTATAGAAAAGATAAAAAATAAAAGAAACTGACAGCCATTTTAGTTTAAAAAACAAAACTAAATCTGTTTGCCTATCATATGAAAGAAACCTGTCACTAAAACCTACTAGGAGGTTAAAAAAGAGGTAAAAATAGGGCCTCCCTGGTCGTGCAAGGGGTTAAGTCTCAGCACTATAAAGCTATCAGCAGCCACTGCTAACCCACAGGGTGTAGACCTCTCCTGTCTCACCCACTACTTCCCTCAGCAGTGTATTTCAGTCAATCTGTCTGTTCTGCTCCCCACTGTCTTTAGTGAATCCTCTCACCCCCCACACTTTTGGCCTATACCCTAGCTCCTGTATGCCTAAAATAAGTAAAATAAGTCTTTAAAAAGAAAAGGTAAAAATATATGTATTTAGTAAATGATTTAGTAAATGATACTAAGGTTAAAAGATGCTTCTGAAGTCATTTCTCATATATACTCTATACACAGATATTAGTGATACTAATGTATGTCCCTCATTTAACCTTTCTCACTTAAGAAGGTTTTATTTTGTTTTTACCTATAGGGCATGGCTTTGTAAAACACATTTAGTGGCTGGGGACCTGCAGTGTATTTGCTTATAATCAGAGGCAGTATTATCTGCAAAGGAACCATTGGAACTGCCAATAAGGCTAAATGTTCTTTGGGTACTCCCTCTTCGATCAATTTCAGTCCTGTTACTGCATCTGCTGCTGAAAAACCAATCTGTAAAAAAAGAAAAAAAAAATTATTTGTGCTTATCCTCTAAGCATATGTAAGTTCTTCAAAGAAACTAAGTCTCCAAGTAACAATCATATTATAACATCAGGGAAAACAATCAAGTTACTACACATACTACACTACCACTTTGCCTGTGGTACACTAGCAACATTCAGTGAAAACATGGGTACTTTAGCACTCTTAGGAACTGTAGATGGCTCTAATTTCAACTAAATTTCCCTATTATATCTGAGAAGTTAAATAAGATATAGGGGAAGAAAAAGTATAGTTAGATTAATTCTTAAAACAACAGCAAAAAAGAGTAAGATGTTAAAAGTACTGGGTAAAAGTTTGAGATGAAATAAGATATTCAGACAATCTATGTAGTATGATGCACATGTTGATACTTAACAATGAAGACCTGAAACTTAGATAATGCCATGATGCAATGTTATTTCAATAAAACAAGAAATATTTAAACAGATTTTTTTTTTATATCCAAAGGGGCAGGTTTATTATAAAAAGGGAGTGAAGACTAATAGTCACTTGCACAGATACAAGTGGGCAGAAAGAACTGCCCTGAAAAGACAGGTTTGTTACAAGAGCAACCTGCAGTCACAGGCCAGCTGCCTTGGAAGGAGAGCTGCTGCCTCTGCTGCTTTGTGAAGGGAGAAGGTTGGTAAAGAAGAGACACCTGCATAGTCACAGATGGGCAACAGAGCTGCTGTCCTAAACAAAGATTTTTACATAGTCTTAAAGTATCCCCATATAAATTACTTTTCATTTTTATTTTTTAAAAAGATTTATTTATGCATACAAGAACTGGGGAACAGGCCAGAGGTGCAGGGGGTGAGAGGATTGGCCAGAGTCAGAGTGGGAACAGAACAGGCGGATTGACTAAAATACACTGCTGAGGGGAGCAGCGGACAAGACAGGAGAGGTCTGCTGCACCATGTGGGTAGCTCCCTGGCCAGGGATTGAACTCGTGCTACAATGCCTGGGGATAGTTTCCTAGTACTGACGCTTTACCCCTTGTGCCACCAGGGAGGCCCCTAAATTATTTAATTAAAAAAGGAAAAGGTAACTTTATAATGGGTTAACAAAGTAAATCAAAGTTAACAACAAAATTTAATGGGATTAAGGGACATGATATGGTTCCTGAAATAATTCCTTAAAGATATCACAAAATTACTTCTGTGATAGTACTGCCATACACACATTTTGTTTGTTTTTTGTTTTTAAAGATTTTGTTATTTATTTATGCATACAAGAACTGCAGTCTAGGGCAGTTGTACTCCTAGGTATTTACTCATCAGAAATGTGCACCTATAGGTCATCAGAAATCATGTATATGAGTATTCCTAGACTTATTAGTTATAATAGTCCAAAAGTAGAAATAAGTATCTACCATCAAGAGAATGAACAAATTGTGGCATAATCATATAATGGATTATTATAAACAAAAAAAATGAACAAACTTTTGCTATAAATAAATAACAATGTGGATAAATTATACAAGCATAACACTGGGCCTCCCTGGTGGCACAAAGGGTTAACATGCAACCTATGAGGCTGTCCGCAGCATGAGTTCGATCCCCGGCCAGGGAGAGACCCACATGGCTCAGCAGACTTCTCCTGACTCGCTCACTTCTCTCAGCAGTGTATTTCGGTTAATTTGCCTGTTCTGTTCCCCACTCTGTCTCTGGCGAATTCTCTCACCCTCCACACCTCTGGCCTATACTCCAGTTCTTGTATGCATAAATAATAAATAAATCTTAAAAAAATATATACAAACATAATATTAAATGAAATAATACAAGAGATTAAATGATTAAATGAAATTAAATGAAATCATACAATAATATGAGAATACTGGATATTCCAAAACTCAAAAGCAGATAAAATTAATGTATGGTGTTAGAAGTTAGGAGAGGGCTTCCCTGGTGGCACAAGGGGTTAAGCATAGCACTGTGCTGCAGTAGCTATTGATGGCTTCATATGCTGAACCCCTTGCACCACCAGGGAGGCCCATCAAACTAAATATATAATAGAAAAATGAATGTGCAAATTAAAGCAAATTTTTTCACTGTGACAACATAGCTATTAAAACTTATGCTTTCATGGGGGCTCCCTGGTGGCACAGGCAGTTGAGTGCCGCCCAGCTCTATGAAGCTGTCCACAGCTTCCACAGCACTGCTTCAATCCCGGCTGGCCGGGGAGAAACCCACATGGCACGGCAGACCTTTCCTTTCTTGCCTGCTGCTCCCCTCAGCAGTGTATTTCAGTCAATCTGCCTGTTTTGTTCCCCACTCTGTTTCTGGTGACTCCTCTCACTCTCCTGCACATCTGGCCTGTACCCCATGGTTCTTGTATAAATAAATAAACCTTTTTTTTTTTTTAAAGTATGCTTTCATGATACAGGAATACATATGGTAAAACAGGACAAAAATAAGATAAAAATTGTATATTTATTGATCCAATTCTTGTAAAGTGTTTGCATTTAAAAATATATATTAATTTACTGACTATAATTAACTTATTCATTATATTTACATATGCAAGTATATGTATATGTACATGCATACCTACAGGTCTACATATATATAGGGGAGAATATACCCAAAATGTTACCAATTTTGTTACTAAACATTGCAATTACATGCCATTGTGTGTCTTAAATCTTTCAGCATTTCCTAAAACTGAATCATGAGTTCCTCAAATTTAAATTTCTTTAATGTTTAACCTTTATTATGAGAGTAGGAAAAAACTCAGTATTTCAGAATAAGACTATAATTTTTCCTTTAAGGTTGTCAAAAGATAGATGTGTTTATGAAAGATAGGATGAACACATAATAGGAAAATTCTGTAAAACTTATTTTAGATTTTAGAACTATTAATTCCAATATTAATTCCAATATTTAGGACTATTACTTCCAACTATTAATTCCAATACTAGCAGCAAAAGTATTATAACAAAATACTTTCTTCTGGCATGTTTTTAAAATGTGTTAGAACTATAAAATTAGTAAATCTTAATATAGAAAACCTACAGAATAAATTTAAAAATCAATAAAATTCCCATTTGAAGGCTATTTCCTTCCAGAATTAGAAGAAATCAACTAATTTTTAAATAGACTTCTAATATCTTTGTAAATCACATTCTAAGTAGATAATTTTACTACCACTAGCATTATACTTACAATAGCAGAGAGCATTTATTTCACAGCATTCATTTCTATACCGAACATTAATATCAATAAAAGTTCACATTTATTAGAAGCACTTAATATTGGAGTAATTCCTTTCAAGATTCCGGGATATTTAACTTATTTTGAATGTATATTTTATTATCACAACTTTTAAAACACATTTAATAAAGAGAAGATGTTGCTTTTTACCACTAAATTCTAATGGTAGTGGACAGGGACTTGTTATATGAAAGACAATGTAAGTATTCCATGATATTGGCAATTAAAAGAGACTGGGACAGGAGGGCCTCCCTGGTGGCATAGGGGTTAAAGAGACAGTGCTATCAAGCTATTGCCAGCCACTGTGGCATGAGTTTGGCCAGGGAGCTAACCCACAAGGCACAGCAGATGTCTCCAGCCTTGTTGGCTTTTCCCCTCAGCAGTGTATTTCAGTCAATCTGACTGTTCTGCTCCCCACTTTGTCTCTCACCACACCCCCCAACACTGGCCTACACTCCAGCTCTTATATGCATAAATAAATAAAATAAATCTTCAAAAAAAAAAAAAAAAAAAAAAAAACCAGACTGGTAAATTTGCTTTATATTTCTCTTACCTTTGCTGTTAGAATCAGAAGGCAAAATGTCAGAACTGCTGGCATTTTTATAATTTCAAAAAGCAGCTTGTATGTATCTGTGATCCCTTGAGTTTCTTCTTTTCCTGATACTTCTTTGTTTTCTTTTTTCAGAAGGGCAACTAAAGTTGTTGTTATTAAAAATACAGCTCCCCAGAAAAAAAGGAAATCTGAAATTAAGAGTGTTTTAAATCTGTAATTAATTTTTGAAATAGGCTATTTTCATTGATATTAAATATTTCTGTATATAACTTTTCCTCAATCAGAAATGTTTTAAAATATCAACATTTAGATGTCTATCATCTTCACAGCGTTGTACCAGGCACAGGGTAAACAAGACTGTCCTGGTTTTGTTAACACACACATTTTCCGACCCCAGATACAGTGTTACTTAACAAAAAAAATACAGTGTTACTTAACAAAAATAAAAGGGGGTAAAGGTCCAGACATTTAATGTGCAATTGGGTTGAATAAAACAAAGGTCTACCATGTCATTTTATTCAAGGAAAGTGCTAAAGGGAAGGATATGATTTTCATATCCCCTAATATCCATTAGTCACATCTTAAGCATTGAAGTTTTTTCAGTTCTTTATTAAATTATACCAATTTGGACAACAGATAATCATTTTTGTTAGATTTTCCAACTTTTACTAAACTTCCTAATGTTTTTAATCTGTTTAAGAATAGCCTTCTCTTTTCAATTCTGTGGATAAAAAGCAAGCTCCTTATACTTGTAGGTGCACAATGGGGACATATGAAGAGTACTATTTGGGTTGCTTCAGTGAAGGACAGCTGGGTCATTAGTGATTATTTTGAACAAACCAAGAGGAAAGAGTGTATGATGTTCTGGAAGATACTTTGTAAGAGCTAAAAATAATGGTAATAACTGAGGCACCATTACCCGGTGCATACTTGGTGCCATAAATGTGTTAAGCATTTTAAACATATTTTATATGTAGCTGTCTTATACTATAACTCAACAGATTAGGGTTTTTTTAAAAAAAGATTTATTTATTTATACAACCATTGGGTACAGTCAGAAGCACGGGAGGGTGAGAGAATTCACCAGAGCCAGACGGGGAGCAGATCAGGCAGACTGATGAAATACACTGCTGAGGGGAGTAGCGGGCGGCAGGAGAGGTCTGCACGCCATGTGGGACCCTCGCCCGGTGGCCGGGCATCGAACCGGCACTGCAGAGGCTGCGGGCAGCTTCGCAGCCCAGTGCTCAACCGCTGCGCCACCGGGGAGGCCCAATAGATTAGGTTATTACCAGCACTTATTTATAGATGAAGAAATGGGCTTAGAGAGGTCATGGTGCCCATTACAATCTAAGTCAATGGTAAAATTGTGAATTTTATTTTTTTTCAAGTTTTTTTTAGATTTATTTATGAATACAAGATCTGGGATGTGGGCCAGAGGTACGGGGGGTGAGAGGATTCACCAGAGACAGAGAGAGGAGCAGAACAGGCGGATCTACTGAAATGCTCTGCTGAGAGGAGCAGTGGGCAAGGCAGGCGAAGTCTGCTGCACCATGAGGGTTAGCTCCCTAGCCAGGAATCAAATTCATGCCCCAGTGCCTGGCAATAGATTGATAGCAACGAGACTTTAAGCCCTGTGCCACCAGGGAGGCCTAAAATTGTAAATTTTACACAAGCAATGTCAAAATCTGTAACTCTATAACCACCTGAGAAATGCATTTTAGTTTGCCACTACAAAACTTAACGACGGGCCTCCCCTCGTGGCGCAGCGGTTGAGCGTTGGGCTGCAAAGCTGCCCGCAGCCTCTGCGGCGCCTGCTGCCGGCGACGGTCCCACATGGCGGGCAGACCGCTACTCCCCTCAGCAGTGTATTTCATCCATCTGCCTGTTCTGCTCCCCACTCTGGCTCTGGTGAATTCTCTCGCTCTCCTGTACTTCTGACTGTGCCCAGTGCTTGTGTGGATAAGTAAATAAATCTTTAAAAAAAAAAAACAAAAAAAAAAAAACTTAATGATAACCCAGTTTCATCTCCTTTAGCTATAACAAGGAAAATCTGGGAAGAAATTCCCAGATGCTTTCTAACTCTAACATTCTAGGATTGTACTTTTTTTTTTAATATGTGTTTACTCTTTATTTAATTGCTCCCGTAGCATAACTAGCTATTCATTGAATCTAGTCACTTTCAGCCAGGGCTTTCATTTGTACTGAATCTTGTTCCTGCTGCTGAGTTAGAGGAAAGGGATCTGTACAGTTTCAACCTCATTCATGGTGTTTTCTATTTTTTTTTTTATAATTTTTTTTTTTAATTTTACTTTTTTTTTTTTTAAGATTTATTTATTTAGTTATACAAGCACTGGATACAGTCAGAAGCGCGGGAGGGTGAGAGAATTCACCAGAGCCAGAGCGGGGAAGAGAATAGGCAGACTGACGAAGTACACTGCTGAGGGGAGCAGCGGGTGGCAGGAGAGGTCTGCGCGCCATGTGGGACCCTCCTCCGGTGGCCGGGGAGCAGCCGGGGATCGAACCGGCGCCGCAGAGGCCGTGGGCAGCTTCGCAACCCAGCGCTCAACCGCTGCGCCACCGGGGAGGCCAGAATACTTCAATTTTTGTCAAAGGTCAAACTCAGAAGCCGAGGGAGAACTTGAATCTAAATCTTCTGAATCTGCGCTTCATACTCCTTCCATTATTTCACACTGCCTACACAGAGATTTAAAAACACTAATGTTGAAATAAAATTCTACTAGAACTAGGGCCTCCCCGGTGGCGCAGCGGTTGAGAGCTGGGTTGCGAAGCTGCCCGCAGCCTCTGCAGCGCCGGTTCAATCCCCGGCTGCTCCCCGGACACCGGAGGAGGGTCCCACATGGCGCGCAGACCTCTCCTGCCGCCCGCTGCTCCCCTCAGTAGTGTACTTCGGTCCTTCTGCCTGCTCTGCTCCCCGCTCTGGCTCTGGTGAATTCTCTCACCCTCCCGTGCTTCTGACTGTACCCAATGCATGTATAAACAAAACAAACAAACAAATAAAAACATGCCTCTATTAAAAAAAAATAAAATTCTACTAGAACTGGACAGTTATTTAGTTTTGACAAGTCTAACCCATAACAAGGTTCTGATATCCAAATCATGCAAATTAATAAGTTAAAATGCTTATATATTTATGAAAATTTGTATTTTCGGTGAATTCTTTTCTCCACCATGGAAGTTTATAAATAATTTCACTATGTGATGAAACATTCTGTAACACAAAGGTATCCATTTTAAAACACAACAGTACATTAGAGTTTTTGATTGACTGTCAGAACACATAATTGCTAGTTTATGTTAATACAGTATTCTGGAAGCTATTCAAAAAGAATGAATGAGGCCTCCCTGATAGAGCAGGTGTTAAGTCTCAGAGCTATCAAGCTATTGTCAGCCACTGAGGCATGAGTTCCATGCCCAGCCAGGGAGCTAACCCACATGGTGCAGGGGACTTCTCCTCTCTCACCAGCTGCTCCCCTCAGCAGTGTATTTCAGTCGATCTGCCTGTTCTGCTCCCCTCTCTTGTCTCTGGTGAATCCTCTCACTCCCCACCCCGCATTTCTGTCCTATAACCTAGGTCTTATATGCATAAATAAGTAAAAATAGGGCCTCCCTGGTAAAAATAGGGCCTGCGCACAGCAGGTTGAGCGCAGCGCTGTGAGGCTGCCGGCAGCCTCTGCAGCGCAGGATGATTCCTGGCCTGCCAGGGAGATTCCCACATGGGGCGGCAGATCTCTCCTGTCTCGCCCGCTGCTCCCGTCAGCAGTGTATTTCGGTCCATCTGCCTGTTCTGCTCCCCGCTCTGTCTCTGGTGAATCCTCTCACCCTCCCATGCCTATGACCTGTACCCCAGTTCCTGTATAAAATAAATCTTTCAAAAAAAAAAAAAAAAAGAGTAAAAATAAATCTTAAAAAAAAAGAATAATTTAAGATTATTCTTATAAGAGAAGCTAATGTTGATTATTTTTGCATTCTTGATTTCAGCTGTGAAATGTGACAAATAACTTGTTTACAGACTTTCATCTGTTATAATACTCTCTTTGAGAAAGTGTTTTCCATTATTTGGGTTAAATTAGCTGTTAAGGAAATCCTGAAAAAAATGACGTTACTTTTGGGCTTCCCTGGTGGCTAAGGGATTAAAGTCACCACTATCAAGCTATATCCAGCAACTGCAAGCACAGGTTCCATCCCTGGCCAGGAAGCTGACCCACATGGCGTAGCAGATCTCTCCTGTCTTGCCCGCTGCTCCCCTCAGCAGTGTATTTCAGTAGATCTGCCTATTCTGCTTCCCACTTTGTCTCTGGTGAATCCTCTTACCTCCACACCTCTGGCCTACACCCCTGTTCTTGTATGCATAAATAAATAAATCTTTAAATGTTACTTTCACTATGACCAGAAAATTTAAATAATTGCTTCCACATAAATATTAAGTGAAAATGAAACATTTTCAGTTACATTGTACTTGGATTCCAGTTCTCTAAGCCAAAACTTTTAAAATTTGCTTAGTATATTCTCCCAATTGTAATGAACAAAATCTTCATCTAGAATTTGTTTTTTTTTAAAGATTTCTTTATTTATGCACACAAGAACTGGGGTACAGGCCAGAGGTGCAGGGAGTGAGAGGATTCACCAGAGACAGAGTGGGAAACAGAACAGGCAGACTGACTGAAATACACTGCTGAGGGGAGCAGTGGGTGAGTCAGAAGAGGTCTAATGCACCATGTGGGATGCTGCCTGGCCGGCTGGGGATCAAACTTATACTGCAGTGGCTGTGAATAGCTTCATAGGTTTCGTCTTAACCCCTTGCGCCACCAGGGAGGCCCTTCATCTAGAATTTAAACTCTTTAATACTACCAGTATTAGGAGAAAGAAAAATAAGTACAAGTTAAACAGGTTTCAGTATGTCTGCAGTTAAGATTATTTCTAAATCTCCATGCTTGAATGATAAAATAACAGTACAGATGAAAGATGGAAGTAATGAAGAGCCCTAATTCAAGACTGCACAGTTCAAGGAACAGAAGAATGAAGCTAATAGCTCAGAAAGAGAGGACAGATCGTCGCCCGGAAGTAAAGAACTTTTATAAACCAACTACCATAAATACTGACCACTACACATTGGCCATTGTTTACAAATATTGCTTTGATGCTAGAGAACACCTAGAGTTCGCTATAC